GGCGTTTTAGAGGCCTGAAACTCTGTGCCTGGTGTGGAGGTTGGGGAAGGAGGGGCTGCGGCTGGGGCCAGGAGAGAGCAGCTGGGAATCTGTGGGAGATGGCTGAGCGAGAAACCCTAATGACGTGCTGTGCCTGCGTACTTCTGCTTGTGGCTGTGACTCCTTTTGTTTTTAAGCGTTTGATCCCACTGAGGAGCATATACATGTCCCTTTATCTTTAGTAGGTTCATAAACTCATTTTCCTGGAGAAACCTGTGCAGTGCTTGTGTTGGAGTTGAGCTGACTTGCAGCTAAGCCACGTGTGTGCTAATGGGAGGAGGCATTTAGCCTCATCTGAAGTTGTCTCGCTGGCGTGATGCCCACGGAGAGAAGTCAACTGTGCCTTGTGCCCTACAGGGGTCACAGCTGGAGATGAGGGTGCCAGATGCTGGCCTTGGGAGATGGCATGAGCTCAAGTGTCCAAGGGGTGCTGTTTCTCAAAAACATTGACTAGTGCACATAGGCAAAAAGTGCCTGGCAAAAAGGAATGAAGAACAACATACCCTTTTATTCTTTGGCGTCGATGGGTTTGCCTCTGTGTGTTCCTGGCTTTTACAGAGGGGCTTTCAGATCTTCAGTGAGTTGGGCTTTGCCCACCTAGTAGTGATGGAGCCATGGGGTTTCAATGTGCCAAAATGCAGTGTATGTCAGCTTTAGCAGCTGTGTGTCCACCTCTGGTGCGGGATGCCAGGTGGTGGGTGGGACAGCAGATTCCTCCAGTGCCATCCACCTTTATCTGCACCCGTAATTGAGATTGTCATGAGAGAGATGCAAGTGATACAAGTTGTATCTGTCTTGCACAGTTGGGCTGCACTGACACTTGGAGATGGGACATACGATAAATGGGCACAGTGGGGCCAGAGCAAGTGTATTACTTTGCAGAGTCAGACCTGAAGACCATAGCAGGGCATCTTTGTTAGGAACAGGCATGTTCGTAAGCTTTTTTCCTAATCTGTAGTCTCTACAGAGTAGCTATATTCTTTAAAGCTTAAAAACAAATAAGTAAAAGATTTGAATCTGGCATCTTAGAGTTTCTGCAAGCCAGAAAGCATCTCCTTTCATTGGAAAGGAAATTTGAGACTCAATTGCTCCGCTTTAAAATGTCCCAGGCTGGCAGTTCAGGCAGGGAAGCAAATGCTGGCCCTTGTTTACTGTGAGCAACTGGCAGAGTCTCTTCTCCTGTTTTTACACCTTGCCCAGACCTGAAGGGGTTACATTTTAAAATGAATAATGACTAAATTTATTCGTCATGGACACACGATGACAGCTGTTGAGATGCTCCTGTTAGCGCTTCCCAGGGGATAAAGTCAGGCTGGTTCCTAGTGCGAGCCAGCCCAGCCGGGCAGACTCGCCTCGCCTTCATCCCGGATTATTTGTCCCAGGTACCCCTCGCTAATAGGGAATTGCCTTTCTAGAAGCAAACTGAAGTTTCCTGGGCCAGAATGGGTGTTCGTGAGAATCCCGCAGAGCTGCAGTTGTAGAGAGCGGACTGAAGCCGTAGCTGTTTAAATCCACGTGTGAAGACAGCATGCTTAATGAATACGAGGGGCAATGATTGATGATGCTCAGGACTGAAAGCCGCGGCACTCTGTGAAGCACTGTTACATCTGGGCACGCTATGGAAAATATGAAGGAATGTTGAGGAAGCTTATTTGCAGAAGGATATGTACTTGTAAGCATTTTTTTTCTACTTCTTAAATAATGTAAGGGAATTGAAAAACATAAAGCAAATTGTGGTTTCTGTCTGTCTTGGACAGTAGAGTGGTGAGCAGACAAAGGCCCCTATTATAAGGGCATGTCTCTGATGGAGAGTACTCTATGGCCCTTATAAATGAGAACTGAGGAGGGGTCTTGGGATGGGAGAACATCAATGGTTATTTAACGTTAGACTGTGGCACCGATTCCGCTTCAGTGCACCTCTGCTGAAGTCATGAGAGTTACACCCATGCTGAATTTACTGCCTCGTGATTTGCAGTTAGGCTATAAAAATACTATCCTGCTTCAAATGATTATTGTGAACAGGAGTCAACAAATGGGGGGGGAAGGCTTTTTAAGGATAATGCATGGTAGCTTTCTTTTACCTTATTTTCTGTACTCCTGTGTTAAGGTTTCTTTCTGTTCTTTGTTTCTCTTTCTGTCCTGCACACGTGCTGCTGGAAGACTTGATACGCAGTTCTGAATGTGCTGCTGTCCTTCTGCACTGCTCAGATACAAAAATGCTCTTGACTTATTAAAGGGATATTCAAATTTGATAAATATGTAATGATTAGTTTGTAGACTTAATGAACAGGAAGCATTGTAATTGTAATCTGAGTATCCCTGAAACTGAGCTGGCTGGTTGGGGGTTTTTGAGTGGCTTTTTTTGTTTTGTTTTAGTTTAGTTTTTGTTTTGGGGGGTTTTTTTGCTAATGCTCAGGAAAATGTATTTTAAATGAAAATGATAGTTTTACTGCTAAAATGTTACAGGACTGCAATCCTTTTAATACCTGTTTTTCTGAATTTTTGTTACATGAAATAGCAAACCACACCCTCTTCTCCTTTCAGAGGAGTGAGGCTTTAAAAATGCAGATAGAGGAGGAAATGAGTTAACGAAGACTTCATTTAGATAGCCTAAAATGCAGCTAGTGAAGAATTTTATTATCAGATGAAAGTGGTTTTGTACTATGGTATCTTTTGTTTTGAATAGGATTGATTTTCTCTTGGCTAGTAATATATATGTGTATATATATATATATGACAATTATTTGCTTAATAACTACATAGGAGCTGTTGAAATAAATACAGTTGGGGCAAATTTTGCTCAGAAGTTTTTGTATTCGAGATTTGTGCATGTCTTCCTGCATCACTTAAACCCCTTCCTAGAAGCCTCAGAGATGACACGTTTTAAAGTCTGTTTTGATATACCATGACCTGTGCAACTCTCACCAAATAGTGTTTTTGAAATAATTCCTGTTTGAACTAGACTATTTATTTTGGGAAAGGAAAAAAAAAATCAATCTTGCTTTTTAAGAACTGCACGTAGTAGGATTTGCTGGGTGACACACCTCCTAACCTCACAGAATCAGTCCTGTGATTATTGCAAAAAATGGAGCAGGGAGGGGGAAGGGAGGGGAAAAAGGCAAGTGAGAATTTAGCCGGTGGCCTTGTTGCATATTTTTCTAGTAGATGAGGAACAATATTAATAAATAACACTTGAAAACTATATTAACACAGAATATAAACAAACAACTTGTTAACAATCTGGCCAGGCTAAACAGTCTCCTGCAGTGAATTTTCATTTAATTGTGTTAAAAACATTTTCCAATCCTTTAATCATTCTCATGGTTCTTCCCTGAGCTATTTTCCAATTATTTTTGAATTACGTATGTCAGAACATGACCAGTGTCAAGAGAAAGGTAGCATGGTCTCCATGGCTGCCTTTAGGGACTGTGTTAAAAGAGAGTCTACATCCTAAATGTGGCTTATGTTCTTCTCCTTAGCTGCGTGGCCTTAAATTTCTTGATGTTAAAGTTCATACGTTCACTTTTGTTCACCTTTCCCTGAACAGTCCAAGTACCTGTTATATCACCCCTTTGCTTTAGATACTGCTTTTTTCTATCCCTTCCCTGGATTCCGAGACTTCTTCAGTATCAAAATTAACGAGAAGAATATCCTTTGCTACCTGTCTTAACTTGTTGGATGCTGCTGTCTACCTGCCTTTTCAGTGGTGTGCTGTGATTTGAATATGGCATCGTGTGCATGGGTGCACATAGTAAATATTTTTGGATGATCTGTGATAGTTCTCCCAATAATAAGCTGCTAGTAAGCCAGTGCTGCTTCAGACAAGGAACACTTCTTAAAGCTACTGGGCTAAGAACAATACAGACTTTTATTTCTGTTCTTTTGCCTCCTGTAGAATATGTCTGTACTGTTATCAATTTTCTTACTTTCAGAAAGCTCAGCCTGTATTGAGTTTCACTCATTAATGTCGAACTAGAAGCCTGTATTTGTTACTAGATGTTCCCAGGTGCTTTGCTGAGTAGAGATGGATTAAAGAGCAGCTTGAGTTTTTGCCAAGTGAAATTTTGCAAAGGGAAATGTTCCTAAACCCATGGAGAGCAGGTGTGGACCTGGGAGTGTTGGAGAGGCATGGACATGAAGCTCTCAAATCTTGAATGAAGTGTTAGTGTGGAGCAGCTAAGTGATGAGGCTTGAAGTGGCTTTCTGGCCTCCATAAATAATGCCCTGTCCAGTTTGTCACCTTTCAGCTGAAGGCTGGTTTTCAAAGTGGATTAGCTAATCTGTGTAAAACTGCAATATAAGCACTCCTTCGGAATTGAAGTGACCTTCACTGAGAATTAAAGTGACTGTAATTCATTTTACATTAATTTATGTTTGAGTTTGGAGATAGACACTGCAGTTCCCTTTAGATGTACACAGAAGGTTCAGTACATTTTAATATACCGTATACTTACTGTTTTTATGAATTCAAGGGAATTTTTTTTTTATTTCCTTGTGAAGAATACCTGCTGATCACTTAGAAAGTTTAGGTGGATTTGTAGCTCTGGATGGGTCTGTGATTAATGGCCAGTGGCTTATCACAGCATGCGTGTTGCCCTGCAGTCTTTCCTGAGTTACCCCTGGTGATTCTGGGTCTGGTGTAGGCAGCTTGCAGGGTGTGACAGGGCAGCTTGTGCTGCCTGGTCCCCTCCACACTCGGATCTTGGATTGGCACTACAGCCCATGGCAAAATAGCTCTCAGAGGCATAAACGTTAGAGATACAGACTGTAGACATCCCATGTATTGTCTATGGTTTGCATCTTTCTGCTGTAGATCCTGAAGACACTGCTGAGATGAGAGCTGGCAGAGCCGACCTGGACATGCAGCACATTTGCCATCATGTCAGCATGTTCCTCAGAATATCCCCCCTTTTTTTTTCTTTTGTTTATTGGACTTACAGCTGAGTGTGTTTTTCTGGCAGATAAAATTTTTGATGATGAAGACTCCGTGGATGGGAACAGACCTTCCTCAGCTAGCTCCTCTACGTCTTCAAAAGCCCCTTCAAACTCACGCAGAGTTGGGATGGGGACTACCCGCAGACTTGGGTCTGCACCTCTGGGCTCCAAGTCTTCAAGTAAGCCAACAGCGTATATGAATTGGCCTTTATGTCAAGTAGTTAGAGTGTTCATGCTTGAGCTTGTTACAATGACTTCTAGACTGAAGTCAGGATTCAGTAACGAATTTTTCCCTATGAAATCATTACATTTCCATTGTCTGCATGGCCAAACTTTATAGTAGGATGAATCTCCAAGGAGTCCCCACATACCTGTAATGTGTTTTACATCTGTGGAAGGTTGGACCTGTACAACTGTGCACTGAGGGCTATGAGTAAATCGTGTTAATGCTGCAGTATGTAGATTTTTGCCTGTATAGCTCCAGCTCTTCAGCTACATGCTAAACTTTAGCCCATGCCATCTGAAACTAATGTATTGGCTTTCTTCTAAGACATTTTGGAATAATGGTAATGAAGGGGCAGAAAGAAAACTGAGAGGAATTCCGAATGAGACCGATAATTCCACATGTGACTATAATTCTAAATGTGACCTAGAGAAATGGAGAAATTTCCCTATATCAGACCCATCTCTAATCTGATTAGTATTCCAGAGACTATTTGTCTTCCTTATCATTTGTCTGTTTGTGCACCTGTCAGAGCTGCACCTTCATCTATTATAGATGGGATTAAATCCTTTAAAATAATATCTCCCATATAATTAAACTAAATATTCCCTTTCATCTTTCAGACTATGTCCCCCAACTGTTGAGTGACTACTGTAATGATTTCCCTAATGTGCCCTCTGTGCCTAGGAGTTGAAGGATGCTGTGAATGTCTGGTGTGTGCCCGGCATTGAATTTCCCTGTCTCTGCTTTCAGTATGTCTGCAGCACTCTAAGGCTGCATGGAGGGCGAACTTTCTCCTGATTAGGTGCCTTGATAGCTGGTGGTTTCTTAATTGATTCTCTTCTTGATAAGATTGAAAAGGCTTTTTCATTTGTATGTCAGCAGCCAAAGAGGGAGCAGGTGCTGTGGATGAGGAAGACTTCATTAAGGCGTTTGAAGATGTCCCAACGGTTCAGGTACGTAGAATTACCTGGTAAAACACGCGCAGTACTAAAAAGCAGAAGATAGATGTAGGATCTAGTCCTAATCGCTGGCAAATTGTGCTTTGTTGTGATGTTGACAGATCTTCTTTAAGGGGAAGGCAAGTCCCAAGTCGGAGGGAGGCAAGTTTCAAATTATAGTATCTGCCAGCAGTTTGTGTGAACCCCTTAGAAGCGGTGGGAATGCGGGTGGGAGGGTTGTGATAGAGGTTTCACAGGAGTGAACGTGGAGCTCGAACTGCTGCACAGTGCAGTCTGGTCGAACAAAAGCTTAAGTCAGCAGAAGCCTCTCTACATTTCATCTGTGCTGTCTGTGAACTGGAAGCAAGGCAGGTGACCTGTGTCTCTGAGATTGCTGCTATTGTGAGTGTGACAACTAGACAGTGCATATTTGCTGACAGATTTTAGCTGAAGAGCAGAGATGTGTCACACATCCCCTCTCCTTCACCAGAGCTTTATTTCTGGGGCAGCTGAACAGTCCCTGTGTCCACTCATGATCCTCTGCAGGTCTTGGCTAATGTAGCCCCTAGTAGCTGCAGAAATACTGCTTAAAATTGTGAAATATAATAAAATAATAAAATTCTTTATTCTTTAATCATCGTGTGATCATTTAGCAATTTTTGATCACAGGAAATGGGTGTAAATTCTTTGCATTGTGCAAAGCCACCAGTGTTCAAAGCTAGCATATGATATTTAAGCATTGAGGAGCAAAGGAAATAAGAATCTAGTTGGAAAATGATCTGATTTTCTGGAGTAAGTCTTCCATTATGGTGCTACTTCGTATTTAAATTTGCAGATTTATTCCAGCCGGGATCTTGAGGAGTCCATAAACAAAATAAGAGAGATACTATCAGATGATAAGCATGACTGGGAACAGAGAGTTTCTGCGGTAAGTAATGAACTGAGATATGAAATCTCTTTATATAAAAAGTTTTTCTGCGCCAACCTTAATACCATGAAGAAGGTACTGAGAGAACCTCAGAGTAAAGCTAGAATGTAGTTTAAGTAGTGAGCATCTGTTATGTTCCCCCAAGCTTGGGGGAAACATTTCCTTATGAGACTGAGTTTAAACCACATCTGTGAAGGAAAATGCTATTTGATAAACAAGAATCTGTCGAGACAGCATCAGGTTGAACTGGAAGTCTTGCAGCAAATCCAGATGTAAAACTAGAAATTTGCCAGGAGCTGCTGAAATCAAAGTGTTGAAAGTGATGTTCAGAATATCTTAAAACTTCCTAATGAGGCAGAAAGTCACTTTGCTTATAGAGAACTTATAATTTTGCCAAAGGAGGTGTAAAATAATTCAGAATGAACTTACACACTTTTAAAATAAAGTGTGTCTGGGAGGCGTGGAAGTGGAAAATCAGTTGTTATATGCGTGCCATGACTGTGTGTTATTTACTTAGGTGAGCTGTGTTTTCATGCTATAAATAGATGCATGATCTTGTCTATGCTGTAGACTTTCATCACTTTGACGTGCCTGTCAAATCCTGTATTACAGATCTGAGTGGCAAACTCTGCTGATTCAGCTTACTTTTGGGTTTTTATTTGCCATGCTAAGTAACAGTGAGGTTAGATCATGGCACCGTGCAGATGCATATGTATACATGAGGGCTGCAAAGGTGCCCAAAATAATGTTTATAGGATGAATTGATGGTCCCTGCATTATTAATAGAAAATTTCCTATTTTGATGGGGTCAGGGTTCCAGTTCTGTAGAGCTAATTATTTTAATGAAATCAATGGATATGTTCTTGATATTTGTCAGTATTACTCAGATCTGATGATGAGCCATGACCTTTAAGTCTCATCATGTTTTTAATACAATAGTTAGCTGTCAGAGGACCTCGGCTTCAGAAGCTGTTGTAAATAGGTGGTTTCTAAGGAGAATAGAGAACCATTAAGACCTCTTTTGGCTTAAAAAGGTTTGAGTTATTAACAATACAGATCAAGTAGCTGTATACAACATTTCTGGATTCCTATAGCAGTTAGCTAGTGTGTTTAGATTATTCTATCTAATATGTTGGCCTATGAGTTGAATATAAGGTCTGAAATAATAAAATTGCTTGGACTTTAATAACAGAGTTCCTTGTGTTGAGGAACAATTGTGCAAGGACCCTGGAAACCAAGTATCAGCCCTGAACATAAATGTCCTTGTATTTATTGCTCATTAACAACAGCTGCTTTCTTTTATGGTGCTAACAGTTGAAAAAGATCCGCTCCTTACTTTTGGCTGGGGCTGCAGAATATGATAACTTCTTCCAACACTTAAGACTTTTGGATGGAGCGTTTAAATTATCTGCTAAAGACCTGCGATCTCAAGTAGTACGAGAGGCTTGTATCACGTTGGGGTAAGTTTACTTTATAAATGTGCTTGAAAAAAAAAAAAAGACACTGGTGAAGAAAACATTTAGGATGTGACCTGTGTTGCTAGTACTATATAGTTATAGACAGAACGTGATTTTGTTACATCTGTTTAAAACTATGTCTGTGTAGGCCACTAATTGTAGTTCCGCCAAACTGTGTTCCTGAGTTTTAAATGGTGCTGACTTGAGATGTGCTGAATAAATAAACCACGTGTATGCATTGACCGAGTAGGGAAGGATTGAACAATAAAGCTGACAATGTATATGTTTTGTTAAGGTTCAGATTGGGCTTAGTTTTTTTATTTTTGATGGGTTATCGTTTGTGAAATGCTTCAAGAAAAAGGGCTTTTTGAAAAATCAGCTTTTTGAAAAATTGTGCATATTGAGGCAAAATAGGCAGTTTCAGAGAAACTGTAATATGAACTAACAAGTCTTTCAGCATGATCCTATTTGATAAGAAATTTTTAGCTGTCCTAGTTACTCTGGTTTGTGCTGAACTGTTTTTCAGAGTTCAGATGAGTATAGCACACAGTTTGAAATGGAAGTAAAGGAATATTTTTTTTAAAACCTAGTATTCTCTGTCCTTTGGAGTTGGAGAGGAGATGACAGTTGCAAAGATTGAGATGTCAGATGTGCTTATGTCAGATGTTCTGTAGAAATCTGACTCGCTTAATCCTCAGCGCACTTAACCAACATGACTTCATTCTGTTTTTCAGACATTTGTCATCAGTTCTGGGAAACAAGTTTGACCATGGGGCAGAAGCCATCATGCCAACAATTTTTAATCTAATTCCGAATAGTGCCAAAGTCATGGCCACTTCTGGTGTTGTAGCAGTTAGATTAATCATTCGAGTAAGTATACATCAAAAGAGAGTCATATGATCATTTCCAAATACTGTGGTGTTTCTGAGGAAATACGAATGATGCTGCAATGAAAATTAGATCAAATGCCTCATTTACTTTTCAGATTGTGCTGGTCTTGGCAATCTCAGATGTCATGCAGCCTTGTGTAGATAGTTGAGCCCTGCCAAAATAGTAGGAAAAATGTTTCTTTGCAGAGTAAGGTATTTTCATTACTGTAAGAGTTGAGCAAACTTTTTTCCTCATTTGTTTGAACGAGTTTCAAGCCTGCCGTGCAGGACAGACTCATCCTCTTAATTATGCTCTAAAACTCCTCACAGGCAGTTAGTTCTGCATGGTGTTTCGTTGTGGAAGCTGTAGAATAGCCTGATATCTCTGAAGTTGTCACCACTGACAGTTTACATCCTCTTGCAGTGACTTCAGCTCCTTGACTCACTGGAGCCTATCATTATAGAGGAAAATAAAAATATCTGTTAGTGTTCCTTTATTTAGCAGTTCTATTTTTAAGAATTGAACAAAAATAAGTATCTACGTACTGGACTTAGGTGGCTGGAAGAGATGGCCTTTCATTCTGTGGAACTCTGGTGTAAAGGTTTCTTCTTGTTTTTGTTCTAGCATACGCACATCCCACGATTGATACCCATCATAACCAGTAATTGTACCTCCAAGTCTGTTGCAGTTAGAAGGTGAGCATTTAGTTTGAACTTACTATCTTTTTTTTACCAGTAGATATGTTCACATATACTTTCTGATAACATTCATGTATTTCTTTTTATTTGTGAAAAGGATTGATATGCACACTTACTAAAGAATTACATCTCAATTCTCCCCAATGAGTTGGATCACATTCAAAGGTAGCTTGTGTAAGCTGTGGCACTGCAGAGAACAGACACTTTTCTCAAAGAGAAAGGTTTTATTAAGCTAATCTTTGTGCTTATGGGTCATTATAACATTGTATTATTTTGGCTTATTTACAGACATGTTCCCCTTTCCCACTACTAACTGTTACAGTGATGCATTTAAGCAGAAGTAGTGTTCTCTGATAGCACCGTGTGGAAGTTGGACTGGGTGTGCTTAAAATTTAAGTGCACTTCAGTCCAGTACCTCACTGGGAGGCTGTTGCCATGTGGATGAGCTAGTTCTCTTCTAGTTAGCCAAAAGAAGGGCTCTGTGGTTGCTGAATTTGGTGACAAGCCTTGTACAAAAAGGGAGAATAAAGTTGAAAACATCTGTCTCCAGATGAGGCTAAATGTGAAATTTCTGTGTGAAACCTTGAACTAACATGTACAAAATACCATTAGCATGGATCTTCGAGGCCTGTGTCCTGTTTAATGAAAAAGGAGGCTTTCTGGATTGTTTTGTGTCGCGCCCTCTCTTCGGAGTTCTCTGTAGTGAATTGCTTCCAGTTACTCTTCAGACTGTTTGTTGATGGCATTTATAGAGATGCTGATGTTTTTATCTGGGTTGTTATTGAATTCTGATGTCCCAAAAAGTTTTGTAGCAAAAGGTGGCAGTTGTTCAGAGGCAGGTATAGCAAAGTCAGTGTCCCTCTTAACTTAGAGAACTCATCATTTGTTCTCTTTTCTTCTCTCAGGCGCTGTTTTGAATTTTTAGACTTGCTGTTGCAGGAGTGGCAAACACACTCCCTAGAAAGGTAAGCTCTGAAAACAAGTGCATTAATTCTCTCCTGCTTGCATCTGGGAAGGTTAATTCTGGAGAAAGGATAATGTAGGAGGCAAAATTGCATCAGATAGCTCTAGTAGAGATATTTTTACCACAAAAAATCACATATGCACACTATTCGTCCCTATAATTCTGGCAGAGTTGGATAAGTCTGTCTCCTGTATCAGCCTTGGAAAACTTGGCTGAGTGAATCCCTGAACTCATAAGAATTTTTATTTTTATTTTTGCACACTAAAGCGAGATGATAGGGTTAAGGCTACATGTCTGTCATGACTTTCTGAACCTTCTACACTACTTCATACTAATGAACAGTGAAAGTAATTGTGGGAAAAGACTAGAATGCAATTCCTTAGCTCTAGACTGTGCAAGACTAAGGGCTTAAAGAGGGTGTTTTAGCAGCCAGGCATTTTCAATAGCTAACTAAAGACCGATCTATCAAGAATTCTGCTTGCATTTTTCTAGTTAGCAGTGTGAGTGAAATAACTGACTTGTAAGAGTAAATAAATGAAGGCTTTAAGTAATCTTACATGTAAATGGGAGGATGTGATAACTATTTGTTCTCGGAGGCCAAAGCAAAATCAAATTTGTCATTTGTTTATGTGGTGCATCTTTCTGGACTGCTGGATAATGTTTTCCTTCTTATTTCAGACACATATCAGTGTTAGCTGAAACAATAAAGAAGGGAATTCATGATGCAGACTCTGAAGCCAGGATAGAGGCAAGAAAGTAAGTGGAAGCTGGTGCTGGTTTTTCTTCTTCTCCTTCTTTGTCTCTATTGTGTTGTGAGTCAGTGGTATTGCGTGTTGGAGACTGAAGTCCAGAGTAGCTACATTCTCCTGGTAGTTGATGCTGACTTTCCCTTGGCTTCAACGGGACTGTGTGCTTCAGCAGGAGATGTCATATGAGGTATCTCATGGGACTGAGTTATGCAAGTATTGTATTTCCTAATGGTACTTGTTTTGCTTTGCGTTTGTATTATTTTATTGTCTTTTTATCTGTTTGAGCAGGTAAAATGCTTACCTGAGTTGTTATTGAATCAAGAGCTAGTAAACTTTTCTTACTTTCTGATGTTTGAGTGAGTTACAGCTGAGGCTTCTGTTTGGTACAAAAGTACTATTATGTCTAATTTTTTTTTCTTTCTGTTTTGGCCTGTATGCAAGACCTAGAATGGAGTAGTGCCAGGCAAAAGTATTAATTGGTAGAGTAGTGGCTCGAGAGCAGCCCTGCAGGAAGGGATCTGGGGATGCTGGCTGACAGCAGGCTCAGTAGGAGTCAGCAGTGCGTCCTGGCAGCCAAGGGGGCAAGCCCCATCCTGGGATGCATCAGACACTGCACGACCAGGCAGTCAAGAGAGGTGATTGTCCCACTGCATTTAATGTTGGTGCGGCTTCACTTCAGTACCGTGTGTGGTTCTGGGTCCCAGAATTTAAGAAGGATGTGAAGATCCTTGAATGTGTCCAGGTGTCCAGATGTCCAGAGGAGAGTAAGAATTCTGATGAAAGGGCTGGAAGGGATGTCCTGTGAGGAACAGCTGAGGTATGTGGGTTTGTCTAGTTTGGAAAAAAGAAGGCTGAAGGGCAGCCTTGTTGCTCTCTACAGCTTTCTGAGGAGGGGGACATGGAGAGGGAGATGCTGACAGGATGCACCCGCGGGTGCTGAGGGAGCTGGTGGAAGTCATTGCTAGGTCACTTCATCATATCTGGTAAGTCATGGGCAACAGGAGAGGTGCCTTGAGGACAGGAGGAAAAGCAAATATCTTTCTGGTCTTCAAAAAGGGCAAGAAGGAGGACTTGGGTAACTACAGACAGGTCAGCCTCATCTCCATCACTGCAAAGGTGATGGAACAACTTATCCTCGGCGCTGTCTTTAGGCATATCAAGGATGAGAGTGTCATTAGGAGCAGTCAGCATGGTTTTTCCAAAGGGAAATAATGTTTGACCGACCTGGTAGCCTTTTATGAAGACATATATCCAGATGGATAGATGATGGCAGTGCAGTGGATGTGGTTTATCTGGATTTCAGTAAAGCATTAGACACTATCTCCCACAGGATCCTTGTAGCTAAACTGAGGAATTGCAGCCTGGATGATTGGGTATTGAGATGGATTGTGAACTGGTTGAAGGAAAGAACTTGGAGAGTTGTGATCTGAGTCTAGTTGGAGGCCTGTATCTAGTGGAGTCCCTCAGAGGTCAGTACTGGGACCAGTACTGTGCAGTATATTCGTCAACAACCTGGACAAGGGAATAGAGAGCACTGTCAGCAGATTTGCTGATGACGGAAAACTGGGAGGACGCGCCAGCAGGCTGTGCTGCCATTCAGAGAGACCTAGACAGGCTGCAGAGTTGGGTGGGGAGAAATGTTATTAAATACAACAAGGGCAGGTGTAGAGTCTTGCATGTGGCAAAGAACAACCCCAAGTACCAGTACTGGCTGGGAACTGACCTGTTGGAGAGCAGTGTAGGGGAAAGGGACCTGCGGGTCCTGGTGCACAGCAGGATGAGCATGAGACAGCGATGTGCCCTCGTGGCCAAGAAGGCCAATGGCGTCCTGGGGTGTATTAGAAGCGGGATAGCTAGTAGGTCGCGAGAGTTTCTCTTTCCTCTCTACTCTGCCCTGGTGAGGCCACATCTGGAATATCGTGTCCAGTTCTGGACCCCTCAGTTCAAGAGAGACAGGAAACTGCTTGAGCGTCCAGAGAAGAGCAACAGAGATGATGAAGGGAGTGGAACATCTCCCTGATGAGGAAAGGCTGAAGGAGCTGGGTCTCTTTAGCTTGGAGAAGAGGAGACTGAGGAGTGACCTCAGTAGTGTTTATAAATATGTAAAGGGTGAATGTCGGGAGGTTGGAGCCAGGTTCTTCTCAGTGTTGTCCAATGACAGGATAAGGGGCAACAGGTACAAGCTGGATCATAGGAAGTTCCACAAAAACTTTAGAAAAAATTTTCTCACTGTGAGGGTGACAGAGCACTGGCACAGGCTGCCCAGGGAGGTTGTGGTGTCTCCTCTGGAGACATTCAAAACCCACCTGCACGCATTCCTGTGTGGCCTCTAGGTGGTCCTGCTCTGGCAGGGGGATTGGACTTACATCATCTTTTGAGGTCCCTTCCAAGCCCTTACATTGTGTGATTCTGTTATCTCTTCTCCTTGAGATTCAGCAATAGGATGTATGGGAATCGTTCACAGTTGCAGTAGGGGAGGTTTAGACTGGATGTTGGGAACCTCCATTTACTGAGAGGGCGATCACACACTGGAACAGCCTTCCTAGAGAGGTAGGAACCTCCATTTACTGAGAGGACAATCACACACTGGAACAGCCTTCCTAGAGAGGTGGTCAACTCTCCAGACCCATCAGTGTTTAAGAGACAACGCCCTTAACAACATGCTTTAACTTGTGGCCAGCCCTGAATGGTCAGGCAGTTGGACTGGATATGATGCTTGTAGGTCCCTTCCAACTGAAGTGGTCTATTCTATTAGTATTTGCTGCTCTTGAAATAACAGACATTGTGGTAACCTAAATTGAGGAAATATTTTATGACACTGAAATAATATCTTTGTGTGTGTCTATAGGAAACTTTAATATCTGCAATTAATTTTCTTCCATTGAAGATGTCTTGCATTTTCATTAATGTGATTGTACTTGCAGTAGTACACTGATACGCTATAATCATGCTCTTCTGAACAGAACATTACAGGAACATTTTTCTTAAGAAAGAGGATGCTGTAGAACATGAAATCAATGAACAATAAATTTTACTAATCTAAATGGTGCATTATAAGCAGAGATGTTTCACAGTAGGAGTGTTTAAATCCTTTTGAAAGGGAACGTATCCATTACTGAAAAATACAGTGGGCACTGGGACTTCGTGGCAGGTGACTAACTAAGCTGAATAGACAGCCAGGAGGATGGCTTGGGACTTCAGAGAGCATGCTTAATTCTCTCTTCCCATGTTTCTTAATTAACAGCGAGTCTGATTGTGAAAAAGAAATTTGTTTCCTGCTAGGGATGTGAGAGTACATGTGACTTCTCTGAGGCTCTGAGGACTGGCTGTCACACACTAACAAGTCTTGATTCATTTGAGCTAATGATCTTACTCTTAAACTGCCCATTAGTTGCCCCATGAAAAGTGCTGAGAGTCTTCATCTCCTTTGTGATGAGAGTGAATAGTGTTTAGACATCAGTCAGGAGATTTGGACCAGAGAGAAATCTTTCCCTTGTCTTAAAATGCTCTTTTATTTTCAGCATGACACTGCTTGAAAGTCTATAGGAGCATGTCTTTCCTTTTCCTTGTTTTTTCTTCCAAGAAAGACAGTCAACAACCTCAACTTGGTACAGAAGATTTGTCTCTGCAGCATTATAGGAGAGCTGTTTGTTAAGCTTAAGGGAAAAAGACCTCCAACCAGCACTACTGAGGCTTTCCCAAATAAGATGTTTTTGAAGTAGCTACTGAGCAGCCAATTCCAAACTAGTACCAGCCCAGTGGGTCTGCCAACTCCTGTGTGTGGTAGATAGCTGGAAGAATGAGGGTTTCTTCTGTAATGATGCTTTGTGGGCTGCTTGTGGCTTTGCAGTGCACCAAATGATGCGTTCCGTGCTGCTTATTTTTGTTGAATTGTTCTCTGTGTGGCTGTTTGAGCAATGCAACGGGTTGAAGAAAGTGCTATGTCTGAAGCATGTAGTAGGGGCACCAGATGGTTGAAAGGACAGGACTAATGAGCCCACTAATGCCAGTAGTGAAAAGGGCTCTGGCTGTACCTGTGCTCCACTGTCCACTGAAACATGACAAGGAGATGTTCAGAGCATTGTGCCTTGTTTCCAGGTGTTACTGGGGTTTCCACAGTCACTTCAGCCGAGAGGCAGAGCATTTGTACCACACCTTGGAGTCTTCCTACCAGAAGGCCCTGCAGTCACATTTGAAGAACTCTGACAGCATCGTGTCCTTGCCACAGTCAGATCGCTCCTCCTCTAGCTCCCAGGAGAGTCTCAAGTAAGTCCTTCCATGTCACTAACTCTTGATTTAAACAGCTGCAGATACCTCCTCTGAATTCGAAGGAGCCAGCATGTGTTTTTCCCATCTGCTCATCATTTGGCTTCAACACTTGGTTACTCGAAAATTTAATTTTTTTGCTACCATATTTTATTAAAATAAAAAGCCAAACAGTAAAGCCCATTACTACCTTTAAAAAAATCGTTGTCTTGACTCCATAAATAATTTTCCAGGAAGCTTTTTGTGCTCAGCAGATACTGTTGGTCATTCCTTCCAAGGGTTCTTAAAACAATGCTTGGATTGAAATTCTGTGCTGAGCATTATTCCTGGAGATGTGCCTCTTTCCATATAAGAGGAAAAAAACAACTAAAGTAAATTTGAGTTGTAACGGTAAAATCAATATGAAATTCTTGAATGTGTGTATTTTAGCTTTGTTTGGAGATACAGTCAGCTTAGGCTCTAGATATCTGCAATTTAAGTATAAGACGTAAATGAATAATATCCATAACTTATTGGTGTATCTTTTCAAATCTACCAAAAGTGTTCTTAAAAATCTCTTCTTACTCAAATAATGTGCCTACTAATCTTTTTTCTTAGTGCTTTTATAAAGAATTTCATGCCAGTGCTGTATTTATTCTTAAACAATAGGCTTTGTTAGTCTGTTCCTGTATATGCATAACTTCCTATTAACTCAATTGCGTCCTGAGGGAACAAAGTAACGCTGTTACTGATGACTATGAAATACTGTTTTTGTTTTAATAAATATTTATATTTTCTTCTAGCCGTCCATTGTCTGCCAAAAGAAGTCCTACTGGAAGCACTACATCTAGAGGTGAGAACAGGAGCCAAAAAACATGTTCAGGTGTTGCTGACGAAGTGCAATGAATTAGAATGAGAATTTCAGACACTTACGATATGCAAAGAAAAACTCTGATCACTCTTTACCACTTGTTAAATTTATAAAAGTTCTCAATTAGTTTTGGGCTGTACACCACATTCTGCATCAACTGCTGATGTAATAATGCTTTTGAAAGTTAGTGAAACTGCTATTGCTTGCACCTGAAGGGAAGGCTAAAAGCCTTGAAAATTGTAGCCAATGTATGTTTAGCCGTGTAGTAGCTGGAATAAACTACTACTGATGATAAGACATACAACTACATAGTCTAAGGGTGCATTCAGCTTTACAATTTTCTGTCATTTATCCTCTGTGGTTTCAGCACTTAATGGAGATATTGTCTATATACAATTCCATCTCGTTGCTAATTTGTTTTTACTGTCGGATGGAATATTTAGGTGCAGCTTTCCTCTCCAGAGTAAATGCATACAATAATTTAAAGAGTAAATCTTAATATAGAATATAACAGACAGAACTTTGTTAGTAGAAGATAAGCTGCCACCTACACCTGACCAAGATTGGCTTCTGGCTGGTTTGTGTGTACAGTACTCCCTACTGAGACCTTTGATTCAAGGGGATATTGTTGTGTAACCTACCTTATTGTGCACAGAAACGCGTGTTTGCTTGCAGCTGAATAGTCAAGCTTCATGCTTAAGAGGGCTAGCATCAACAGGTGTTGGGAACAGCAGTCCTCATGAGAAGATGAAGTGTTGGGAAGGAAGTTGTTAGAACCTGGACTGAAGGACCTGCAGGTCTGTTTTGGCCAGCAACTTGAAAGCTGGAATGGGTACTGTGGCTGAACTTTGCCATCTAGGTTTTGTTAGAAATTTCTTTATTACTGGCCTAGCAGCCGTTTAGATCTCAGCGTTTAGTTAGTGTCTGATAAAATCCTTAGAGGTAGCATCAGGTCAGCGCTGAAATATCTTTGCAGGCAGTGTGGGGAAGCCCACATTGCCCTGATAAAGCATCCTTATTTGAGCTATTTCAGTGCCAGCAGGGAGTGTTAAAAATAGTACATTAAACTGCTTGTCAGGGTCTTTGAAGCACGCAGCTTGAAAAATTAATCTTCTTTATTCTGGATCTCCCACTCCCATCTGCAGCATCTACAGTAAGTACAAAATCTGTGTCAACACCAGGATCTCTGCAGCGATCCCGCAGTGACGTCGATGTGAATGCAGCAGCTAGTGCCAAGTCAAAAGTGACGTCTTCTGGAGCATCCACCCCCTTCAGTTCTGCTGCAGCCTTGCCCCCAGGCTCATACGCATCACTAGGTAAATCTACACATTCTTCTACTCTTGCAGTTAGCTTTCTTTACTAGCGGAAATTGCCTCATAGTTTGATTTGAATATTAAACTCTAAGTAGAAGAACATATCTCTGAGACAGTTACCAGCTCTCCACGATCAGTGTGTTGATCTCTTGCCCTTTGGGACTGAGGAACAAATATGCAACAGAACTGGCTTCTTAGGTTTTGAATTGTAGAATAGACTGCGTCTCACTCTTCTTTCTCAGCAAAAGCGGATCTTACTAGAATTCTGGAACGTTGTCGAGGGAAGCACTTTCTGCTCAATTCCTTTTGACGTGTCCCCCTGTCGTTTTTCCTTCTCTTCCTTCCCTCTTTTCCTGAAACTGGCTTTCCATTAATTGTTTTATGCTTTGACTAGTACTTCTTAGTTGAGTTTGATCGCTTTCTGTTTACAAGAGAGGGAGGTGTAGAGGCAAAGAGGAAAAGTTGGCCTTCCAGTTTCCTCACAGAGGATATATGTATCTGTTCCTCTTGCTGGCTCTTTGGATTATAGCCACAGGTCACATTATTCTCTCCAAGCATCGTATATCACTTTCAGGTGCCTCAGAGTTTCTTATAACAAAGTTTGTATTTGATTCTTCTCTCCTGGAGAGGCTCTTGAATGAGGTATGGAGGAGGAAATGCAGGGCAGCAATTGACATAGTATTTGCAGAGCTTCGACTCGGTGATGAGCAGAGCTGATCATCTGAGCTATTTTCTCACTCTACTGGTTTCATACTAATCTAATTCCAGACTTCAGTTTACCTTTACGAGAGGGAGAAAAATCAGAGACCAGTGTTCCTAATTTAAACTGTATGGAGTATCTTCATTGAGACAGTTGAGAAATTTCTTCTCCTTAACGTAGGGCATTTGATCCTTTAGTGCGATAAAATACGCGCGGTGAACTAATATAGGGATGGTTTCTCTAGATTCCTTCTGTAGTCAAGGTTTCGTATCCAGAATGTTTCACCTTTGCTTAAAGGCGTCTGTTATATTTGGTTCAGAAGTTGAATTCTTATTCTGATTTAAGTTGTTCATACTTGGCTCAAGGTTTAGATACATTCCAGTGAAAACATAACACAGAATATGAAGCTGATCTCCTAGCAGTGTGCTTCTGAGCAACCGTTTTTCTGTTGCTCTACGTGCTGGCTTCAGTGGCAAAATTGCTTTCAAACAATCTTATGGCATGAGGAAGAAAGGAAGAGGGGTGAAGTATCTACTAAAACTGGCTTTGTCCTTGAAGCTGGGAGACTGAATACAACATTAGTTTTGCTCTTAAAACCGGCTAGAGGAGAAAAGCAACAAATGCGCTATAAATGGTGCAAACATGGCCGCCCCTGAAGGAGCCTGCTTCCTTTTGAGCTGGTAGGGACATTTGTCACTTGTGTATTCTCATGAGAGAAACAGCGAGGCGAACAACAAAGATCGAGTTTGGCAAAGGTTGGTTATTGCAAGAGGGAAAACCTGCAAGCGTGTTCTTCAGATACGTCAACCTTGGATTTGCTGCTCAGTCAAACTTATAAAATTTCTTTAATTGTGTTATATTTTTGCATATATCTGTAGCTAATATATAGTGCCCACTGCTGCTGATGTTACTAACTCTCCCTATTAACCGTTTCCTTATTTTTTTTTTTAATTTGCCTAAAGATGGTACTACTTCTAAAACCGAGGGTAAGCAGTCTCTCTGTGTAACTGAGGTGTGTCCACAGTCGTACCACCCTACCTGGTCTCTGTTCTCAAAGTGTTATCTAGTTCTCATCCATGTTCACTGGTGACCTGCATGAAGTGTTGCATGGTTGTCCTGCTCATTTTGATGCCATGGGATACTCTCCGCTTTCTCTTTGAGCTCCTTCCTACTCACAGGCACAAGTCTGCTTTTGACTTCTGATCACAAAGATGTACTGTGGGTTTCTGTATTTAAAACGTTGCTTTTGGTGGAAGGTGACCTGCCCACACATTGAAAACCAAAAACACTCACGCACCGCCCAAAAAAATCGACACATGACTTGTGTTTGCTCCACGATGTGTAAAGGTTTGCTGTGTTTTTCCATCCAGAGCTCGGGTCGCAACTGCCAAATGCTTTTGGGAAGAGACTGGGCAGCGAGAGAATTGAGTGAGATGATCACATGGCAGAAAAATGAGGACAGTAAACAATGATCTTTAGGGAAGGAATATTTAGTCAGCCTCTTTAAACCTGAGCTCTCTCTTTTTGTTGTTAACTGTCTGAGTGAGATGGTTTATATGTAAGACAGTTGGAGGAAAGGCTTTTTTCAAGAACACTGAGCCTGCTAGTTTGTGAGGGCTCCCGGTCTGTTTCTCTGGCTCATTGTCAAAGCTTGTTCTTTTATTTCTTAAGCAAAAAAGATCACTGGGAAATCACTTTTTCTGAGGTAGACGGGAGTTGAAAACAGGAATGTCTTCTACACTACACCCCCCAACGAACCCATTTCTTCCTGATGCAAGTCTCTTTTCAAGGGATCTATTACTGTCTTTGTGGGACTGTGCTTGCATCCTTGAGTGCTGCTTGGTTTGGAGGTGGTGGTCTGAGAAGTGACGCGGTGCCGTCTGTGCGTTTTTTCTTTACTATTACTGATGCATTGATTAGAGGGAAGAGTCTCTACGGTTTTCAGATTGATGTTTGATCTTAGTGTTGAGCAATGAACTGGCTCTGCATCATGGGCAAGTGTTTGTGCTTTGTGACCTCTCAGTGATAAGGAATATGAAGTTGGCTTAAACACCTGTATTTTTAAATCAGTAGTGATTTAGGTGAAAGTTTTAAATCATTGTAATACTGAGCTTTTCCGCTATTGACCCTTCTTTTTTGTCTTCTTCCTTTCTTCCCCATTCTCATACCTTTCTATTTTTAGCCTAACTTTGAAATGTTTAGTGTTTGTTAATTTATGAAATACCTCATGCAGTTCTCAGTCCTCTCTTAAGCTGTAATAATATTTATAGAGGCCTGTTACAACAGCTATCCTCTGGAAAACTTTTTTTTTTAGTTAGTTATATATTGTCATAATGTGAAAGTGTGGGTATTTTATTTGTTTTTTTTTTCTCCTCAATTCAGCTATATTGGAAGCAGATTTGATTTGGTAAAAATCTGTAATTGGATCCATCAGGTTGCTTAGGGGGGCAAGATGGTGAGATAAACTTCCAGAAATGGAGTTTGCCATCCTCTTAGTGTTAAATCTCTTCTTTTTGCTGTAGGATCCTCTCTTTGGGGCGGGAGAGTATCAGGGAGAATTACAACAACATGGCACACTACAGCCAGAGCACTGGAAGGATGAGGCTTTAATCACTGTTTGAAACTCTTCATCTTTATTTTCCTTTGGGACACTTGAGGGAAAATCAGCTTTTGTTCGGGATTCAGTGTGTCCTACAGATGAGGGCTGAGAAAGGTGTTCTGCCAACTCTCCAGTCTTGCACTTTGTCAGGAACTACAGGGAAGGCAAAACTTTATATTCATGACATAAATGTAAAAATAAAAGAGGCAGGGGAAGAGAAAAGCGTCCCCTTGGTATGGAAGTACCTGTGTCTGCAAGAGACAGGCTTGGAACATGAAGCAGAAATCCCATCCACGCTTGTTCCCCTGTTATGTTTTTTCTTGCAGTTCACCAGTAAGTAGTTTAAGAGCAAATCCCTGTGTGTGTGGTTCAGCCTGATGTTAAATGAGCAGTCTGGTTCCCATCATGGCTTTCTGTAGCTGCAGTGTAAAAGTTCTGCACCTTCCCCTCAGCTGGGAGCCAGCATTGTGTGAACTTGGCAGTTCCCATCTGCTTTGCCCTCAGTTCTCCTCAGTGTTTTGGTTTTGAGCCAGACATCTGAAAACAGGAGCAAGAACGAGTGGTTTATGCCAGTGGCGAGAATACAAGTCAAGAACTGAGTATCAGCCTTTTGATTTTTTTTCAGTAGTGTCATCCCAATTAACAAATTAAATTCACTTCCTTATGGAAAGGTAGTGTGAGTCTATACAACTTAAATCTCTGCAGGTCTTCTGCTGTCTCTGTGCTGTGAGACTGTGTCTTCATGCAGCATACAGTTAAGTCTTGATTGCCCATACCCTTCATGTATGGGGATCTCTGGAACTTCATTAAGAGCTTTGTAGGCAGAAAGCTTGTAAGATTTAAACTTTTAGAGCCTTGATTGGGAGTTCACAGCTTGTGCTATGCAGGTAGCAGTTATGCCATGTTTGTTATACCTGATTAAAAGGAAACCTTAGAAATGTTTCTGCTTTTTCTATCATGAAATGGCTTTTCAAGGAGTATTTTAAAAAGGTGCATAATGATAGAATCATAGACTGGCCTAGGCTGGAAGAGACCTTAGAGGTCATTTAATCCAACCTCCCTGTCATGGGCAGGGACACCTCTCAACTAGATCAGGCAACACATGGGGACTGACTTTCAGTACAGACTAATAGTTCAGAGCATTCCTGTAATCAGGCTGCCATTTTTTCAAAGCGCGCATGAAGACAAGCCCTTCAGACAAACCTTTCCCAAAAGGGGGAAACAGAAATGATGGTCTGTCCTGAAACTGGCAAGCTTAAATCAAAATCAGCAGTTTCCAGAGGCAGCGGCATAATTTTGAATAGTTTTTATTATTCGCAGAATCATAGAATGGCCTCGGTTGGAAGGGACCTTAGAGATCATTTAATCCAACCTCCCTGTCATGGGCAGGGACGCCACCTCTCAAGTAGACCAGGCAACACATGGGGACCGAGCGGGAATCGAACCCGAGACCTCGGTGTTGTCTTTGTTGTCAGCACCGCACTCAACCCACTGAGCTAACCGGCCCCCAAAAAGGAAATAAAATCTGTTTTATTATAGTTTCCAGATAACTTTAGGCTCAAAGAGCGATCTGCTCAGTAGGACATCTTGAGCATCTTCCCAAAGGCTTTGGGCGTAACACAAGTTTTAAGAAATAACCGCCCCTCTTTTCTTCTTTGCATTAAAGCTCTCCCTTGTCCTCATGGGCAGCACTTGGTTCAAAGA